AGCCAAGTAGACAAAGGGGATGCTACTTGGGAGGTGGAACATGATATGAGGGAGGATTACCCTCATTTTTTCGAATCAAGGTATGTTTAATTTTCGGGGACGAAAATTATTATAAGAGGGGGAGGATTGTAACACCCTAAATTTAAGTCTTTAAAATTATAGTATCAGTCTTGGGATTCTCGCTTGAGCGAGGGATTCTCGCCCGGGCGAGAACGGCTCACCTGGAAGGGTGAAATCTTGGGCTATACTGAAGGATTCTCGCCTGAGCGAGGTTTGGCTAGCTTGAGTGAGATTGGTCTCGCCTGAGCGAGAGTTGGCTCGCTTGGGCGAGAAAGGCTCAACTGGAAGGGTGAAATCATGGGATTTACGGAAGGATTCTCGCCTGAGCGAGAGTTGGCTCGCCTAGGCGAGAAAAGTGATGTTTTGGACATGTCGAGGGTGTAAGATACTCGCTTGAGCGAGAGATGCCTCGCCTGGGCGAGAGTTCCCTCTCTTGGACGAGAGGGTCAGATCTGAGTTTTTAAAATAGGCGGGATTTTCTCGCTTGAGTATATAAGCGAAACTCTGGCTTGAGTATACAAGCGAAACTATGGCTTGAGTATATAAGCAAAACTCTGGCTCGAGTATATGTAGCATGTTTTCTTTTAAAAGGAATGAGAATCTGCTTTTAGCTAACCTTAAGGGGTGTAGTGACTTTGGCTCAAGTTATGCAGCAAAGAAAATGAATTTCAAAATGGTTTACTAACCCTTTTCTAATGTGGATTATCTTATAATGACGTTTATCGAATTAATGACTTACTCCTTTGTGTGTTTTTTGCTTTTGTCATTGATTATCCCAATGCAGATAAACATGTGATATGAAGGGGACTCATTTTTGGGAGCTTTAGGAACTTTATATTTTTGGATTCATTTATTTGCACTACTTTGTACATGAGTGCATATTTGGTAGTTTAAAGCATTTTGTATCTATGGATATATTAACTTACATGGTGTTGTAACTCTGGATATTTGTAGCTATGGGTATTTTGGAAACCCATAGCTAGTTTGTATGCGGTGGTTACTGAATTATATTTATATGAATTATGATTTTCTGCTAAGTAGAATGTATACGAATATGAGGATATGGAATGAATAAGAATAGGTAAATAGAATTAAAATGAAAAATGTATGTGAAGGAAATAAATAAGGGAAATGTAACACCCCAAATTTTATGTCTTTAAAATTATAGTATCAGTCTTGGGATCCTCGCTTGAGCGAGAGATTCTCGCTTGGGCGAGAGAGGTTCACCTAGGGGGGTGAAATCCTGGGCCATACTAGAGAATTCTCGCCTGAGCGAGAGTTGTCTCGCCTGGGCGAGAAATGGCATTTTGGGGCTGTTGACACTGAGATTCTCGCTTGAGCGAGAGGGTCAGAGTGGAGTTTTTAAAATTGGCGGGATTTTCTCGCTTGAGCGAGAGAAAGCTCGCTTAAGTGAGAACCCGACGAGAACATTAAATGAGGGAAACCCCAAATACATTTTTAGGTCAAGAATTGAAGAGATGTGAGAGAAGAGAGCCTTCCCAAGGTCTAAGAGCTTCGAATCTTGTTCAAGAGCTTGAGAAGAGGTAAAGCTCTCTATCCTAACTCTCTTCTTCCCTGAGAACCCATTTTTGGTATCATGGATCTCTTCTCAAAGTGGGTAAAACCATGGAAACTCTCTATTTCGAGTTATGGTTTGTTGTATGCCATTTGTATCTTGTAAAATCTTGGTTTTGAGTTAGTATTCCAAGAATGGAAAGGGTTTGTGGTTGACTCATAGAAACCCCAAAACCCTAGAGAGAGAAAATGTGGTTAGAGAGGAAGAATGGGTAAAATGCTAGAGGTAGAAGATGAGTTGCTTTATAAGATCCGAAGTTTGGAGGTGGTGCTGGTGGAACTTACGAAGTCGCCAAAAACCAAACCCAACACTCACCGAGGTAAGGATAAAGTCTATAATTTATGCATTGTGTTGGAAAATGCGTGGTTTTTCTGTTATGGATAATAAAGAAAATGTGAATCACTTAGTCATTATGAACATATATGGGTATGTTGATAATGGTGGGAAGTGGATTTACGGTTTATGTATTGGGGGAGTACCAATGGAAATAAGACTCGAAATGAAATCATGAAATGTAAATCACTTTGTAATTATAAGCATATGTGGATATGTTTGTAATGATGTCGGGTGTATTTATCATTTTTGTATTGGTGGAGTGCCAATGGAAATAAAACTCGAAATAAAGCAATAAATTGTAAGTTACTTTGTAGTTACAAGAATATACGTTATGTTGTGATGATGTGGGTGCATTTATTGACTATGTATTGGTGGAGTGCCAATGGAAATAAAACTCGGATAAAACAATAAACTGTAAGTCACTTTGTAGTTACAGGCATATACGCTATGTTGTAATGATGTCGGGTGCATGTATTGTCTATTTATTGGTGGAGTGCCAATGGAAATAAAACTCGGATAAAACAATGAATTGTAAGTCACTTTGTATTTACAAGCATATACGCTATGCTGTAATGATGTCGGGTGCATTTATTGTTTATTTATTGGTGGAGTGCCAATGGAAATAAAACTCGGAAACAAAGAAATAAATGGTAAATCACATAGTCATTACAAATAAATATGGGTATGTTTGTAGTGATGACGGGTGGATTTATGGTTTATTTATTGGTGGAGTGCCATTGAAAATAAAACTCATTTTAGCCGACTAGAATGGGTTAGCGACTCTAGCTCGAGTTATGTAGCATGGTTTTTCAAAAGTACAGATGACGAAAATGGTTTTAAGTGGATTTAATTTATACCGTTGTTTAAACCTATTAAATGTGGATTAACTTACATTGAAGTTTTATTGAGTTAATGACTTATTCCTTTGTGTTTGTTTGTGCATGGTAAATGTTAATCCCATTGCAGGTAGGTGGACGGAGAAAGGATGACTTTTGAGTAGGAGATTAGGGACATTGTTTTGATGTCTCTTTATCCCTTCTTTTGTAACTTTAATTGATTGTAATTGAAGTAACTAATTGTACAATGAATACTATTTTGTATCTGATATTGAGTATGGAGACTAGTAACTCGGGATATATGTAGCTATGAGTGTTTTGGAAACCATAGCTAATTGTATGCGGTAATTACTAGGTTATACTAATATGAATTATGTTTTTCTGCTATCGGATTGTGTATGTACTTTTGGTCCATAGATTGGGTGTGAGGATGGAGAGAAGGATATTTTAAATAAATTTATTTACTTGGTAATTATAATTTATCGTTAAATGCATGGAATTGGATTAAATAAGGAAAAAATTTCCAGGGTAGAATTTCGGGTCGTTACAAGAAAAAATTTCAAGGGTAGAATTTCGGTCCTTACACACAACCTGAATTTAACATAGTTTCCCGATCCAAAAGAAATGCATTATGAACAATATAATTATAATGCATTATGATCTAAAAGAATTGCAAGGTATGCATTATGAACAATCCGTAGTGTGCAAATTGCTTGTGTTTATGGGAAATACAATATAAAAGTACTTGCTAAATTAAAAATTATTAATAAATTAGCCATAAGTTAACATATCTCCTATTCTTTTTAAAATTAAGGAATACATTTTTATTATGAGTTATTCATATTTCTGATTACTTATTTTATAATTAAATAATAAATGAGTATAAATTTATATTAGACATTGTCTAAAATTAAGGAATCACAAAAAAAAGTTATTGAAATTGTATTAATTTTTGAATTAATATTTTCTTTACTTTTAATAAAAAATTGATATTACCATAAAAATCTAAAATGTCAACAATAACTACATACTTAATTGAGCTTTGAAAATACTTTAAAGTCTAAATTGACCGATTATAAATTGTGAATAACTACATACATAATTGTGTCATCTTATACATAATGTAAAAATAAAAAAAATATATCCTGTATACTTTTTAATAAAAAAATTGAAATTACTATTAAAGTAGAAAATTTAGAATATTTTTCTTCTTCTTTTCGTTGTTACTATTTTCATACTTCAATATTATGTACTACATAATTATTTTGAGTTATACATATTTGTTATTCTTTTTAAAATTAAGGAATACATATTTATTAAGAGTTATACATATTTCTTATTACTTATTTTATAATTAAACAATAAATGAGTATAAATTTATATTAGGCATTGCCTAAAATTAAGGAATTACAAATAAAACTTAATGAAATTGTATTAATATTTGAATTAACCATTTTCCTAATATTATTATTCTAATTTTAGGTGTAATCATATCAAATCATTCATTACCTAAAAATTGCAAATGATCACTTTTAGAATTGGTAGGGGAAATTTAAAATCACACACACATATTAGAATTTATAAATTGTTTTGGTCATAATTTCAAGGTTATAGTTCTATTTTTTAAATTCTAATATTATGAAATTATATTATTACACCGTTGGAATTGGCATGTTACAATAAGTGCACAATGTGAAAATAAAAAAAAAAAATATTTTGTAACCCCCTAAAAGTTTGATAATTGGAACATAGTGAAACTCAGTCAGTCTGGGAGCTACTGACTAATTCTCGCCTGAGCGAGAGTGTCTCACTTGGGCGAGGGTATCAGTATTTCTCCCAGGATTTTATCTGGGAGCCTCGCTTGGGCGAGATGTGGCTCGCCTGGGCGAGAGAAGCCTCGCTTGAGCGAGAGTTGGCTCGCTTGGGCGAGGGAGAGTGAGTTGGCTGGCTTGAGCGAGAGCGTCAGTGTTTGAAATTTTAAAAAAGGCGGGATCTCTTGCCTGGGCGAGAATCTAAAATCCTGAACCCTAAAATAGAGCCTCAAACATGAAAATGAGGGAGGCTTTTGAGAGAAAGGAGAAGAGGAAGCAATTTTCTTGGCATTAGCTCGTATAAAGGCTAAGAGAAGCTAGAGAAGAGGTAAACCTCTTGATTTTAACACTTCTTCTTATTTATAAACTCATTATGATTTATGGTGGATACCTAGGCACCCAGAGACGAGGAAGGGCGTAGTAAGCGACGAAATGCTTCGGGGAGTTGAAAATAAGCATAGATCCGGAGATTCCTGAATAGGTCAACTTTTCGAACTACTGCTGAATCCATGGGCAGGCAAGAGACAACCTGGCGAACTGAAACATCTTAGTAGCCAGAGGAAAAGAAAGCAAAAGCGATTCCCGTAGTAGCGGCGAGCGAAATGGGAGCAGCCTAAACCGTGTAAACGGGGTTGTGGGAGAGCTATACAAGCGTCGTGCTGCTAGGTGAAGCGGTGGAGTGCTGCACCCTAGATGGCGAGAGTCCAGTAGCCGAAAGCATCACTAGCTTAAGCTCTGACCCGAGTAGCATGGGGCACGTGGAATCCCGTGTGAATCAGCAAGGACCACCTTGCAAGGCTAAATACTCTTGGGTGACCAATAGTGAAGTAGTACCGTGAGGGAAGGGTGAAAAGAACCCCCATTTGGGTCTCTTCTCTTTGAGTTGGAAAACAACCTAACTCTCTCCTTTGAGTGGTGGTTCGTTTTATTTAACTTTTTTCTTGAAAACTGGTAGTGTAGAGTGTATATTTGGAAATGGTGTTTGAAAAATGTTGATTTTAGGGAACCCCAAAACCTAGAAACGAAATGGTGAAGAAATGAGGTGAAATGTTGAGTTGGGTTGTGGTTTACGATTGATGATGTGGAATGAGGGGTTAAATGTTTATAAGTACATGTTTGGAGTCTCAATAGAGATAGTTTCGAGAGTCATCGGAGTGTGAGTTATTTTGCGGATTAAATATGTAAAATGAGTTATAATGTGATGTTACGAATATATTATTGATTATGTTTTAGTGTATATGTGAATGGGGAAAGACCCTAAGGTTGGAGGAAGCGGAGTAGAGACTAACAAGCCGCCAAACGCCAACACACACCAAGGTAAGGGAGAAGCATTTCCATACTTAATGATGTAATGCAAAAGGTAAACGTATTGGATTTTTTATTATGATAATAGAGTTGAATGCCGTTAAATGGAAGTTGTATTGAATTCGCCTTTGTGGCATAGACTTGCCCTATGTGGTATTGATTCGCCTTTGTGGCATAGACTTGCCCTATGTGGTATTGATTCGCCTTTGTGGCATAGACTTGCCCTATGTGGTATTGATTCGCCATTGTGGTATAGACTTGCCCTATGTGGTATTGATCCGCCTTTGTGGCATAGACTTGCCCTATGTGGATGAGTTCTGTAGACGCAATCCTACTCAGTTCGAGGGCGGATTTGCTCCCGACGCGGCAAATGAATGGATCCAAATCTTGGAGCGGATATTCAGAGCCATGGGTTGTTCCGATGCTCAGATGGTGACTTATGCCTCATATGTCCTAGTTTAGGATGCCGAGAACTGGTGGAAGTATGCTCGGAGGCAGATGGAATCGGAAGGATAAGCCATCACATGGGAAGCCTTCAAAGGAAAGTTCCTCCGGAAATACTTTCCAGCTGACTTGAAGAGAAAGAAAGAGATGGAGTTTCTACGGTTAGAACAAGGGGATCTATCGGTGGGAGAGTATGCAGCCAAGTTTGAGGAATTGGCCCGATATTGTCCCTATTATGAGCTGGAGGTGGACGGGAGGTCTAACTGTGTTAAGTTTGAGTCGGGCCTAAAGCCCAAATTGAGGATGATGTTTGGACATCAAGAGATCTCTGATTTTCCTACTTTGGTCAACAAGTGTAGGTTGTACGAAGACGATATGAGAGCAGATGAAGTGGTAGTTCACAAGCCTAATCCTCCGAGGAATTTTGGGCCTCAACGCAACTATGAGCAAGGGAAGGGAAAAGGCAGGGCGTTTCAAGAGGAACGAAAGCCCTACTCTCCACCTATGGGAAATCGGAGGTATGGTTCGCATGGGTCGGGAACAAATGTCAACGCTGTACGGTCACAATTGAAATCTCCTCCTTTATGCAACAAATGTGGTAGGCATCACTTTGGGGGTGTATGCCCCGGATTTGGGAATGGGTGTTTCAATTGCAAGGAGCCGGGACATATAAGGAAGTTTTGCCTTAAGCTGGACCAGCGTGCGAGTGCCTTGAATGTGGAGAGGCCTAGAAACACTGGCAGGGTGTTTACTGTAACACCCTAAATTTAAAGTCATTAAATTATAGTATTAGTCCTAGGAGTCTCGCTTGAGCGAGAGAATTGTCGCCTGGGCGAGAGAGACTCACCTGAGAGGCTGAAATCCTGGGCTATACTGAAGGATTCTCGCTTGAGCGAGAATTGTCTGGCTTGAGCGAGAGTGGTCTCGCCTGAGTGAGAGTTGTATCTCCTGGGTGAGAAAAGTGGCATTCAGGACCTGTCGAGGCTGTAAGATCCTCGCTTGAGCGAGAGGATCCTCGCTTGAGCGAGAGCTGCCTCGCCTAAGTGCGAAATCCCTCGCTTGAGCGAGAGCGTCAGATCTGAAATTTTAAAATGGCGGGATTTTCTTACTTGAGCGAGAATGGGCTCGCTTGAGCAAGAACCCGACGATTTCACTTTAAAATAGAAACCCCAAACACATTTTAGGGTTAGAAAGTGAGAGAGAAGAGAGGGGAGGGTGATTTTGAGAGCAAGAACTCGTGGGAATCATCTAAGAGCTTGAGAAGAGGTAAATCTCTTGATTCTAACTCTCTTTCTCCTTTCATACTCGTTTTTGGGTGTATGGATCTCTTCTCCAAGTATGAGAAACCATGGAAACTCTTCCTTTTGAGTTATGGTTCGTTTTAGGTTGTTTTTCTCTTGTAAACTCTTGGTTTAGAGTTGGTATTTGGAAAATGGAAAGGTTTTGTGGGTTTATTCATGAAAACCCGAAAACCCCCAAAATGAGAATATGAGTAAAAAGGGAAATGGGTGAAATGTTAAATGTGGAAGATGAGTTTGTGCTTTAATGTTGATATATGAGATGAATATGTATGTTTTAGATGTTTGGAAACTCGTATTAAAGTGGTATTGGAAACCTTGAAAATATGTGAATATCTTGTATGTTTGACGATGAAATACTAGTCGTTTATGTGTTATTGTGAATAAATGACTGACATTGTTGTTATTGGTGGGAATGAGGAAATATCCTAAGGTTGGAGGAAATCGCGAAGAAAATTTGTAAAGTTACTCGAAACCGACTCCAACGCTCTACAAGGTAACGGATAAGTGTTTCTAACTCATATTGGCTGATGTGAATGAGGTTTGTGAAAGAGGTAATAAGTTTGTAAGAATATTATTGTTACCCTACCCGAAGTGGTAGTGTTTATTGTTGTTACCCTACCCGAAGGGGTAGTGGTTTATTGTTGGTATCCTACCCGTAGTGGTAGTGGATTATTGTTGTTATCCTACCCGTAGTGGTAGTGGAATATTGTTGTTGTCCTACCCAGAGCGGTAGTGGATTAATGTTGTTGTCCTACCCGGAGTGGTAGTGTATTATTGTGGTATAGACCTACCCGATGTGGTATGGAGAATTAACTAGACCTGCCCGATGTGGTATGGAGAATGAACTAGACCTACCCGATGTGGTATGGAGAATTAACTAGACCTGCCCGATGTGGCATAGAGAATTAACTAGGCTTGCCTGATGTGGTATGGATAATTAACTAGACCTCCCCGATGTGGTATGGATAATTAACTACATCTGCCCGATGTGGTAAGGAGAATTAACTAGACCTACTCGATGTATTAGAGGATTATCTTTGTGGGAAAAACTCGGTGAATATGAATGATGAGAAATGAATATATTGGAATGAAAGTAATATGCATGCTATAGGATATACATTATGGGATATATATACTATAGGGTGAATATGAATGATGAGAAATGAATATATTGGAATGAAAGTAATATGTTTGTTATAGAATATATATTATGGGATATATATTCTATAGGGTGAATATGAATGATGAGAAATGAATATATTGGAATGAAAGTAATATGCATGCTATAGAAGATATATTATGGGATATATTTACTATAGGGTGAATATGAATGATGAGAAATGAGTATATTGGAATGAAAGTAATATGCATGCTATAGAATATATATTATGGGATATATACACTATAGGGTGAATATGAATGATGAGAAATGAATATATTGGAATGAAAGTAATATGTTTGTTATAGAATATATATTATGGGATATATATTCTATAGGGTGAATATGAATGATGAGAAATGAATATATTGGAATGAGAGAAATGAGTATATTGGAATGAAAGTAATATGCATGCTATAGAATATATATTATGGGATATATACACTATAGGGTGAATATGAATGATGAGAAATGAATATATTGGAATGAAAGTAATATGCATGCTATAGAATATATATTATGGGATATATATACTATAGGGTGAATATGAATGATGAGAAATGAATATATTGCAATGAAAGTAATATGCATGCTATAGAATATATATTATGGGATATATATACTATACGGTGAATATGAATGATGAGAAATGAGTATGTTTGGATGAAAGGAATATGCATGCTATAGAATATATATTATGGGATATATATACTATACGGTGAATATGAATAACTTGGAAATGGAAGGAAGGAGATACTAATGTGTATATTTTTGTGTTTGTGATGATAAAATATTTCACTATTTGTTTATACTTAAAATGTGGATTATCATGTAATGTTAGTCTTGAACTAATGACTTACTCCCTTGTATTTGTGTGTTGTTTATGATAATCCCATTGTAGGTAAACGAAGGATTTTGAGGAGAAGGCTCACTTAGGAATTTTAATGTGTTTCCTAACTTGGATTTCTTTATCTATGCTTTGGTATTATAGTTGACTAAACAATATTTTGGGATGAATGTAATTCTAATTATGGTAACACTGGATATGCGTAGTTTTGGGGATTGTGATTCTTGGAAACCCATAACTAGTCATAGGTGGTAGTTACTAAGGATTAATTGAATGAATTATGTTTTTCTGCAATATGAAGTGTATGGTAATATAACATGTTAAAAAGTGTTTTACGGAATAATTAATGAGGGATTAAAGTAAGATGATGAATGTAAGCATGAAAGGATTCAAATAAAGGAAAAAATTTCAAGGGTAGAATTTGGGTCCTTACAATATGGTATCAGAGCACATGTCAACTCTTCGGCCTAGGGTATGGCTTGCATGCTTCTTTGTATGACTTATGTGAATTGTTTGTTGATTTTGTGATTGAATTATGTTGGTTAGTATAAACTGATGTGTGATTATGTGACCCTTGTCGGTTGAAGATTTGGTTTAGTGACAAGTTAATGAGCACAAGTACACATGGCTGGTAGAGGAAGCGAAACTAGTCATATTGTGCCAAATGATCTTTTGGCTCAGACGGTAGCTGCATTGCAACACCCTAAATTTAAAGCCATTAAATTATAGTATCAGTCCTGGGAGTCTCGCTTGAGCGAGAGAATTGTCGCCTGGGCGAGAGAGACTCACCTAGGAGGGTGAAATCCTGGGCTATACTAGCTTGAGCGAGAATTGTTT